CACACATACCGATGCAAATGGAGTTGTCGAAATTGCTCCACTTTGCGTGTGTATACACTTGGGTGTGGGTGTAAGTGTGAGTGTATGGGTGGGTGTGTGTGTATGCGTGTCTATCTGTCTGCGAGAATCCGAAATCCAAAATCCCGAATCCAACCCCCGTCATCAACCTGCACCGAAACACTTAAACCTAAACACGTTGTCTGTGTTGGTGTCGGTTGTTGGTTGTTGGCTGCTGGATGTTTGTATGTGTGTGTGTGTGTGTTGGTGTTGGTGCGTCGTCCTGTTCGTCCTTTTTACTGGCGTCTACGCACAATATGTTTCGTCTTTAACCCAACCGAAAGCTTCGTCTGGCGAGAGCTTCAAGGAGTCGCAGCCAGAGTCCTTGCTGCTTGTTTCTGGATCCTTGTGGAAGTTTTAATGTGATTCCTTCGTATTAATTTCGACATAGTCATCGTTGCTCCTGCTGCCGGCTGCCCTTTTGCCCTCTCTCCCCCTCCATTCCCATCTCCCACATTTCTTCTACCCCCCTCTTTTACCGCTTTCTCTGTCATTTTCTATTTTTCTCCTTACGCACTTTTTATTGCTCGTCCTGCGTTTGCCTTCGTTTCTATTTTATTTTAACAACATCTTCGTCGCCAGCATGGAATTCTGTCGAGCTCGGCGCTTTTCCCCAGCACTAACTTAACCGTTACCCACCCCGCCCTCCCACTCTCCCTCCCTCGCTTCCTCTCTCTGCCTCCCCCCACTTTCTCCACTTTCTCTGTGTGCATGTGTGAGTAAAGTTTTGTTTTTTTTCCTCTGCTGATGCTCACTCTTTTATGTTCATCATACGAAAGCGCGACTTTGTTGCACTAAACGTAAGTTGGAAGATTTACAACTTTTTGGTTTAACACATGCAATGGATGGAGGAAAGTGGGGTAAAGTGGGGCGAAAAGGGCGGGTGCGGCAAAGTGGGGTAGGCTGTCGGATAGACAGATAGTTGGGGGTGAAGGCCACACTCAAAGTCTCTCAGGAATCGCACGAAAAAAAATAAAAAAACTATATGAAGCCATGGGGAATGCATAAAGTTGAAACCTCATCACTCTGGGGAGTGAGGTAACCTTGCTGCCTTACACCTCAGAAACTTTTCCTTAAAAGAAAAGTTATTACGCATAGAAGCGGAGAATTAAACGTATAAGGTGCATATTTTTTGCAGTTTCAGTTTTTATTAACCTGAAATGTGAAACAGGTGCAATTAGCAAAAGTCGGAAATGCTCGGGGGTCAGCAAATATAATAGTTTATGGACGGGTGGGGAATTATACCTGAAGGTGTGAAGTTTTAATTGCTTAGTATGCCCCTTAAAATACTGAGGAACAATAAGAACAACTTCCGTTTGCTGTAGAGTAACACCTAAATTTCTTTAAATTCGGTAAAATAACATTTCACAAGTGAGTGTTAAAAGCATAAACGTGTAACAAGTAAAATAAACTAGTTGCAACTCTATTAATTTTGTATATACACTTATACTTAATCGCATCAATGCAGCTGCATTTTTTTTGTAAATTTGAAAGTAAGTCGTAGTAACAAATGCACAAGCTCGAATTAGAAAAACAAACTTTCAAAATGTTTAAAAATGAAATGAAAGTTTATTTGATTTTAGACGGAATTTTCATATTTTTCCGCATAACAAAATACACCTAAATGAATTAAAAACTTTTCCAGCAACTTTTATCAGGACATGTGTTCGAGACACGTAAAAAAATTAAGCTTTGCAAATTTTAAAGCTATTATTTTAATCCCAACTTTAGATCTCGGAAATTTCACCCGTTGTCCAAGTTTCAATTGGCAAACAAAGGGGGGAAAGTTTTATAAATTGCTCATTACGTCTGAATCAGGTTGCTGCACTTGCTGCTGTGGAAAAGCCGCAGATTTTCATCATACGTCGTACATCAAAAGCGTTTCTAATCAGCAGGCAGTCGGCAAAAAACAACCACAGTAACAATGGGCGAGGGGAAAGCGCAAACAAGTTGCAAGTTTACTTTTGCTTCTTCTCTGGCATTCCTCTTTCCCTCTTTTTCCTCTATTGTTACGTTTATACGCAAACGTGCACGAGTGTGTACACCGAAAAAAAATGTATATTTTTCCACCTGTTATCACTTCAATTTGATCTCCAAAACTAGACTGTTCAAAAAACAAAAATGGTTTTCTACCTTCTTTTAATGCAATCCCTGTCCAAACAGAAAAATCATTTTGAAGTATCAACATTTTTTCCTGTTTGCTTGTGTATGTGTGCGTGGGAATTGGAGCACGTAACAACAAAAAAAAAAGCGAGCAGAGACACCGCACAGAAATAGAAATCATTTGAAATCATGCCGCACTCATAAAACACTTAAAGGACAATTTTGCTGTCATACGGAATAAAAAAGGGGGAAAGCTGCTGCTCTGGCTGGTGCTTTTCTCCGGCAGTCTGGGGTTAATTAAATAAATTCCTAAGCCACTTTTGCCCGAGCAGAAGCTTCATAAATTTTTGAACAAATACTGCCAAAAAAAAAGGAAAGGAAAAAGGAATACGAATTGGTTATACATAAATATTGCGTGTGTGCGTGTATCTGTGTGTGTGTGTGTGTATGTGCGGGTTTTCAGCAAGCTTTCACCCGCAAGACAACAACAAAGGGCTTGCAACAATTGGCAGGACTCCGTTTGGCGTGCTCTTCCAAGTGTAAACAGAAGTTGAGCTGCTCGAGTCCCTTTTCAATTTCTCTCGCTCCCGCTCTCTCCCTCTCTCTCTCTTTCGCTGTATCTCTCTTTTTTGCTCAAAGCGAGTTTTTGGCGAAACTCACTCAAACGTTCCATCAATGGACCGATGAGTCCTGTGCCACTGATAACAGCCGCCCACACACTCACACATACACACGCACTCAGACAGGACACACGGATAGAGCTGTTTAAAAAGATGTCCTAGTGCGACGGGCAAAAAAAAATACACCGATTCCTAAGAGTAACAGCGCGGAAAACGTTTGATAACGCCGCGCGCACAAATGTATGCTGCACAAAAGCAAGCTCGCTCTCTCTAACTCCCTCTTCCTCTTCTTCACACTCACACTCCCCCCGTCTGTGTGAGCTTCCTGTGGGTTCGAGTGTGTGTGCCTGTATGTGTGTGTATGGGTGGTAGTAAATAAGCAAAAGGCAAAGACGGAAATAAAAAGGGCAGCAAGTGGACAAGACAATGAAATTGTCATAAATAACAACGTTGTCTACCAACAACAGGCAAAAAAGCAACAGCAACAACAAAAACAACAACAACAACAAAAGCAACACCAATAGGATAACCAACAACAAAGGCCCAACTAGCTGAGTGACTGGGATTCTTATTTCAGTATCATTTTTTTCTTTTTTTTCGGTTGCTGTTGCTTTTTCGGTGTCTCTTGGTCAGTGGCTCAACTCTTTTTATCATTTTTAGCAGTGCCCCGTCCCCAGGGTATTATTCGGGTAGATTAAGTTGATGGAACTCGACGAGAACAAGAGCGATTCGGAGCTCTGAGGTGTATTTTATGAGAGAAGCTCAGCAGTGTTTGTTGGACAAAGTGAAAACGGTTAACTGGGATTAGGGAACGTTTTTGGCAATATACTAAAATGTGGAAGATTCTGGGAGGTTGAACCATACAAAGAATTCCGATTAGGATTAGATATTTGAAATCTAATTAATATACGAGTATACATATATCTTTTGGAAAATAAGATTGTACTTATAATGATTTTTTCTAATAAAATATAAATAAACATTAAATATTACTTTATGTAAACTCCAAAAGATGCTTGAATGACTTTTAAAAAACTTGCCTTCCCAAAGTTTAGACTTAGCCTAAATCCGATTTGGCTTACTGGATCGCTCTGAGACATATATTTCTTGGAATCTAAAGTTATCTAATTTCCAGGCCATCGATAACTGATTGATTTATGGGAAAAGTAAAAAGAAAACAAAACTTTTGCTTAGGAACTCACTCGAGGGACTCTCATCATTCGAGAACCATTGCTTGGAACTCTTCTATATTCGTTTCCTCCTCTTCACTGCTATTCCCCATCTCCACTTCTGCTTCTTCTTCTTTTATATCAGATTCTTTCTTTTTATTTTCATTTTTTTTTTTTTTTTTTTAGTTTGCCCTCTGCTCTCATAACGGATATTCGAAATGGCTGCTGCGGCGGCTTTAAGTGACTTTTGTCAAACTTTGTGCGCTCGGCTATCCAAACACTAGTACTTATAGTTATCGAAGGAGTTCAGAAGGGGTCCTGAAAAGGGGGAGGGGTGAAAAGGGGGGAGAGGAGGCAGGAGGATACTCACATTAAACTAATGTTTAGTTGGCAGTCGCAACAGTTTTGCGAGTGTTGCGACCCTCGAAACTTTGACCGTAAATTGTGGCACGTGATGGGCGTTTGCAATGGAATGGGATGATGTCGTATGAATCTCAATGGGGGGAAATATCAGGAAGTGCCGCACCATGATTGTCCAGAGGGGCGTGACCGGGGCAATTGTTATTTCTTATTGCTCCACTCCAGCTCTGGAATCGAATTGAATTTTTATGGCCTGTGACAGTTTGGAGTGGAGTGGCGCGATTCCACTTTTTAGAATGGGAAAAATATTTATTTCTGCACATTTTCGGCAGAGATATCTACCAATCTGCTTCTCTGATTCTCATGCAACAGGCCATGAAGCGATACAAATGTATTGGCAATGCGAAAGCAGCTCCTTATTAAGCTGATTGCCTTGCGAATTTCGATTATTTGGTCTTTTGTGCTCGGGAATTTGGCTGGGAAATCAATCAAAATGGTCGGCTCTCAAGATCCAAAGGGATAAAGACGAAAACAGAGTCTGCTTATTGATTGACTTGTAGTAAATGAAACGAAAATACATATTCCCCTCATAGTTAATATCAATAAACATTTAACTGCGTAAATATTCACATCACTCTCTCTCTCTTTTTCTCTTTCTCTCTTTTCTATCTCTTTCTGTCCCGCCATACAGATAAAAATCCAATTTAAATAAAAGTTTTTTCGTAACACTCACCACATAAAGGCAATATGCAAATATTAAACAAAAAGAAAACACTCTGAAAATGTTAAACAAAAATAAATGAATGCAAATTAAAAAGCACGAGGGAAAGCCAAAACAAATAACAACAGCAACAATGTGTTCATAACTATTAAAAAGCGGATATTTAAAATAGGAAAAAACGAGAAATAAAAATAAAAACGAAAAAGAAAGGCTTTAAGTAACGCATTATGCTAAATTGAATTCAAACTCATCTGAATCTGAATCTGAATCTCTACTCTCGCATCCATGTTTCTGCATTCGTATCTGCATCTGCACCCGAACCCGCATCCGAATCTGCATCCGTATCTTTGCATCTGCTGAGCCGAGCGAATGCGACGATGCAGCAAACATGCCAGCTAAATTCCAATCCAAAACCCAGAAACAATACATCAATCAGTTCAGCAAGCAACCAATCAAGCAATTCCATCATCAATTTGCAACTGCCATCAACTCATCAACAATAACAACTGCAACCAGTACTGCAACAAAAGTCCCAACCTAAATGCCAGAAATTAAATGCATCCAACTAAGACAAACCAAATAAACCTAAAATAATTCTAAACAATAAAACCTAAAAAAAAAAAAACAAAAAATAGCTTAACACCACTCGAAGGCAAAACGAGAAGAAAAAGAGTAAAATTCAATTTTCATATTAATTATGGAACATTCATCAACAATTTTGTTGTGTTTGTTCCATTGCAAAAACGAAAAGGTCGCCGATTGTTTGCAGCTGCAGCAACAACGACCACTGGGAAAGTCAACAGCAACAACAGCCACAAAAGCAACAGCAACAACAACTTCGACAACAGCAACTTTGGGAGAGACAGCAACAAAATCAAGCAGAAGACCAACAACAATAACATCAACGGAAGCAGCAGCAACATCAGCAACATCAACTAGCAACAACCAACAGCAGCAACTTCTTGGACAGCAGCAACTTCTAGCTTCATTTCGACCAAATTGCTGGGTAAGTGGAATTGGGGAAACAATTTGCGAGTGAAACGAAACGGAATGGAATGGAACTGACTATAAATTCAGCAAATTAGCAAATGCAGAAATTTAATTTCCACACAATTCTCCCAGCAGACGAGTCAACTCAACTCGCAAATATTCATAGATGCACGTACGAGTTTATAGTATGTAGACAAAAAATGTGAGGAATTGGTGCCTTTAAAATAGATTCAGTGGAAATGGGGAATACTCTAGCTTGTTAAAAGTGTGGAAAAGGGATAAATGACAGGATAAAACGGAGAGACTAAGGGTAAGAACTAGGAGGGGATTTTTCAGCGAGGTAGTAAAAATTGGTGTAAAAAGAGCGATGAAACAGAAAAGTAAATCCAATTAAGTGCTTTTGCTCGAACAAGATAGAAAATTATATAAAAAAAAACTAGGTATAGAGGGTTTGGAATAATAAAGAACAGAAGAAACATGTATCTAAGGGTTTATAATTTTTAAGGATTTTTTTTTATAATTTTTATTTGAGCTGTTGAACAAACTAAATGCATTTAAAGTGAGTATGTTCTTTCCAAAAGTTATTACTTATTAAAAGGAATTATTCATAACACAATTTAATGAAGAAATATTAAACGCTTCTTGAATTCAAGACAATTATTAAATTGGTTGCAGCAACCATCTGTGGCAAGTTGTTGATATGCCCCAATCTCTGAGACTCGTTAGGGCAATGGAGAAACTTGCAACTTGTCAGCGTGACGACTCGGCCAACCAGCAATCAAATAGTGTCGAGCTCAGCGTTGTCGGAAAAGACTGAAAAAAGAAGTAAACTAGCTGGAAAATTTAAAATGGCATCAAGGCAGAATCATGAAAAACTGCAAATCGTCGCCAACGCAATTGAAGTCTACTGTCTGTCCTCCAATTTTCCCTCCTCTTTTTTATTTTTTTTTTGGACTGATGCTGACCATTCGTTGCTGGTTGTTATGAATTTCATATTACACACGAAAATCCAATAAAAATCACCGAAAGCAATTTTCCATCCAACGGAAAGTGGAGTTTCGTTGGTTTTGGGGGAAAGAGAAGATGTTTTTGAAATTCCTTACCATCAGCTGCATTTTGGCTGGTTCTTTTCAGCCGTTTTGTTAAATTTTCACCACACACATTGCTGACCGAAAAATGTGTTTTATTTACTTCGTTTTTTATTTTTTGATGTTGTACGTCAACAACTTTTTTAAAGGATGCCAAACACGATGCATTTTGTAGCCTTTTAAAACCGAATTTTTTTATCGTTGCAAGTTGTAACTCTGTTCCTGTCGCAGTGCCAAAAGTTTCTTAATTTGATTTTAATTCATGGCGAAACAGAAAATGGTTACCACTCAGAAAAAAGTGTGTGTTGCGAATTTGTGTTGAGAGGAAATTACGAATTGTAATTCGCTGGCTCAGCATCAATTAAAAATTCAACGAGTTTTCCACTCAAATTGATCATGATGATGCGTTATTTTCTCTATTCGGGGACACGAGTTTGAGCGTTATAAGGAAACTTCTATCAAAACAGATCAAGCTGTTAATTCACGGATTTTCAACTGAGCTGGCTGGGCATGTGACGCTTTGGCTGAAAAGTCCATTTCCCCAGTTGTCAAGGGCTTATAATAGTTTTCCATACTGTGTCCTCCGTATCGCCGGCTCCCTCCATTTGTTTGATGTATTTTCCCCTTTTAGCTGTAGGATGCTCTGGTTATCTCTTGGCTGCCCCCTTTGGATTCCAGTTGGTTTATTTCATTGCAGCCAAACTGTCGTATGCAAATCTGCTTTGCTGATTAAACCTAAATAATGTTGCCTCAGTTACGAAGACCTTCCTTTGGTGCGGCTCCTTTTCCCCTTCTGCAATCCCCTCTGCAGTCCCTTGAGTATCCTGTTTTCCTTGGCTTCTCTGGGTCTCCGTTTCCATTTCCATCTCCCATCTTACATTGTCTTGTCTGTCGCTTTGAAAGATGGTGGATGCTACTCTCCTTCCGGTCAGCACTAAAAGTTGAACAAGTTTGCATTGAACTTGGCCAGATGCAACTTGGCAAAAGGATCAGGAATTTATATTTACACTAGGTTTACTTGCTGCCATTGGTAGAAGTGAGGATTTGCTTGTAGAATTATTGTTTATTAAATTTCTTTGAAATGGGATATCTTCCTTGTTGCATTCGAGGGCATTCGTCCTTCGTTTCCTGGAAAACTGCAGTTGCCCTTATCCTCGCTTCAATGATGCTGCTGCTGCTGCTGGTTATTTTTCCCTCGTTTTTCTTCCTGCTAAATCTGAGACAATTTCCAACTTATAAGAGGCCGCCTCCATTTGGATAATAACACAGGGTCCTGCATCCTGCAGCAACAGCTTCCGCTTGCCGTGTCCTGGCCACTTGTTGTTGCCCACATATACATACACATACACATATACATACACAGCTGCAGACAGACACACAGACACCCACATAAAGGCCGAGTCCGGATTTTTTTTGTTTTGCATTGCAGGATGCCTTTGGTGTATTTCCTTTTAGCCTGTCTGCTGCACGTAGTACAACATTTTCAATTTAATTTCTGTCTCAGTGGCCCCCCGGCTCCTCTTATCCGCATCCCATATCCTGGCAGACCCGGTCGGGTTTTCCTGGCCGTGGCCATTGTCTTTGCCTTTGTTTGCAGTGCCATTTCCTTTTTGCGCTACGAAATTAACTCGCTTCTCCTCGCCGCCTTTTTCTCTCTCTCGCAATAGATTGTAGTTGAATATATATTTTTGGTCGCCATTTTAATTAAACTGCGCCAATGGCTGCGAAATTGTTTATAATGTCAGCTGCACATCAGCCCCATCATCGTCGCCATCGCCATCGACATCCGCAGCTCCATTCTGCTCCGCCTCATAATCGCTGTCATCCTCATCCGTTCACCATCACCATCGGCGACACCATCACCATCACCATCCCCATCGCCATCGCCATCATCATCTTTATCGGCAGCAGTGGCAGCCTCATTATCGAGGCGATGTCTGCTCCTTTTTAGGGGGCAACTGGCTGCTGGGGATGGGTTCGTGGCTGTGGCTCAGAGTGCAAAGGTCACGAGTCATCTCGCGGTTTAACCTTATAGATATTGGATTCGCCACTGACTTTTCAGGGCAGTTTTTGTTATTTTTTTGGTTTGAAATTGATAGCGCTTTTTGTATAAATTTCAAACTTTAAACTCTCCGACAAAAAACGCGATAAAAAATGAAAATAATCCGACTTAGGCTTTCAAATTTAATCTCGTTTGTCTGTTTTTAAAGTAAGTTACAATCATGAATATAAAAGGCCAAATTAATCTCATAAAATAATTTATAAACCTTCACCGGACTTATCGTCTGATCAAAATGAGTAAAGCTTACGCTTTACGCTTCGAATGGTTAAATGTAAAACATTTTATGTCATCTTTAAACGATTAGAATACAAATACAATTAGGAGTATTTACCTAGCTGTGTTTTTGTGAAAAGGTATCTTCAATGATGGCAAAGCATACTTGAGTTCAGGTAAAACTGACAATTAAGAAACACTCAAAGTCATAAAAACTGCAAACAAATCCGATTATATTTTGCGCTTCGTGACTGCTCACGAGCCCATTTCCATTTCCAGCGGGCAAATCAACAAATAAGCTTCTTTCTCTTCGCCAGTTTTGTGTTCGGTGCACTTTTGCATTTCCCTTGTTGTAGATGCTGTTGTTTTTGTTTTTGTTGTTGTTGATGTTGTTGTTGTAATTACATAGCACTTGTTGTTTTGGCTTTGTTCTAACAAAAGCCTTGACTCCGCCGCCCACTTCAGCGAAATGTGCTCTCAAAAACGGGGAGAAGAGGCGCCAATAACTTCACTCGAGCGCCAGCGCCCCAAAGTATGCAGCAGCATTTTGTCGAAATGACTTTTGACGTTCGCTCAATGGCAATATTTGCAGGGTCCACACAAGTGCGCCTCTGTGTGGCTGTGTGTGAGTGGGTGTTTGGTGTATGTGAGTGGGTGTTGGTGCGTATTCGATGTATGTGTTTATCGTCAAGTTGGCAGCTGAATGAATGAATGAACGAACGAATGAATGGCAAAGTGCGTCTGTCATTTTGAACGCTTGTCAGTCGGCGATCCAATATCGAAATCACTCCAAATTCTATGCTGAAAGCTCATTTTACATGCAGTTTTACTTTGATTGGCTTTCGAATTGCACTTAGCCGCCTGATTAGCCAGCTCGACGAATATTTCCAAGTCAATCAAAGTTTGAGTTTCCACACAGAGCAAAACTGCAGCGAAATTGCTAAATAACTAATATCAAATCTTGCTTTTGCCTAAATTCAAATCCAAATAAGAAGTAGTGGAATTGAAATAAGAAAAATACCTAAATCTAAATAAAAAATTACATTTTGGTTATTCATTCTTTTATATTTAGTAATATTCTGAAGAATATTGTTCTTATTTTTAACCAATAAATGCAAACCCCATTGAGGAAATCTGTTTTCTGCTTCCTCATTGTTATGTAAAAAAAAACTTGTTCTATGCCACGAGTACAGGTGAATTTTTAACGTGTGTATTAAGGCTGGCATTGTTTAAATCCCTGGCAACTAAGCCGCTAAGTGGATTCCCTTGAGCATAATTTGCAGCGGGCTAAAGCAAATTTGTGCAGCAATCTCCTGGCAGGCGAAGGCAAATTTGTGTGTGTGTATGTGTGGCCACCAAAGGGTTCAATTATGAACCGGCGACCGCAAAAAGTTGAAACCTCAAAGCGGATATAGTGAGGCACTTGTGGCACACATCGGGGGCAGCAGCAGGTAATTTGAGGCCTCGTGGAGTGTGCTAAAAAATGCAGCCACCAGATGTGCAAAGCTCAGTTCACAAGGGAGCTGCACCTAAAGCCAGATTCTTTGCGGGATTCGATTTTTTTCCAACCCAGAACCAAACCCATACCCCTCTTTCCACTTTTTGTCGCGCCTATGTGGCTGCAGTTTTATCGAGGGAAAAGGGGGTGGAGGTGGTGGGGTAACTATCAGAAAATGAGTGGTGTGAGGGCTCTTACTCTTTCAATTTCAAGGCTCATTGTGTACGACGGCTGCCTCTCATCATTGGCGAAGCATTAAATTGACTTTGAAACTTTTTACCTGCCAGCTTTGTGCCAAAAAACCTCCGCACAAACAACAGCAAAATGGGAGCAAGCTGAAACTAAACTTGAAATTAATTAACCGCGACAAGGACGAAGGAGCTCACTGCTCACTCACTCCCCGAAATCTCAAAATGCTTTTCTACACATTTTTGGGAAACCCACGCACACGGACATAACTCATAAAACCTCTAATTACACAAACAGCTGACGCAGCCATAGACAAGGATATAGAACTTGGGGGGTTGGTGGTGTTTGCCGGAAAAGCACGAGCACACTTCCTTTTCTTTTGGGTGATGGGTGCCAAAGGGAAATGCTTTCTACTCAGGACTCCACCGCTAGGGAATCAAATAAGTTGAATATTTTAATTTTCCATCATAATTAATGCCCTTTCAACCTTCCATCCCCCGGACTAAGTTTATACCAGATGATGCGGTTGCTAAACCTTCTCGTCCTTTTCTCACGCACACTTATCCCACTTACACACATACAACACCAGTCACTCTGTCCTTTTCCCTCTGCGACCATCGAGCACGTGTAAATTATTGTGGCTTTCTACGGCACTGATGGCCGGCGCCTGAAAGCATGCTGCGATATTTACATCCAGTAGTTTGGGTTGAGTGGTTCTGCTCTGCTCGTGGTGTCGTACGTAACAGGTGGATGAAAGGACCCCATGAAGGACACTTGCTGTTTTGCTTTAGATTTTAATTTCGTCTCAAGTAAAGAAGAGCATTTATAACTTGAATGAGCGAGCTTTAGTGCCAAATGAAGGTTAATATAATTGTGGACTTTCGCTTGATAAACTTCCATTTATCTTAAGGACTATTTAGCTCAACTGAACACTTTTAAATGAAATTTTGGAACACTTTGAAGGGGGTTGAAATCTTTAGACATTTCTGGGGCTTCAACATATATTTGTTTATTATTAAAAATAAAGATTAGATATATTATATTTATAATAAATAATATTTATTTGATGATTTCAACAAAAGTACATTTCATGTTTATTTTTTTTTTAAAGGGTATTTTTTCATTTCATTTTGTATTAAGAGGTTTTCATAGATATTTTTTAGGGTATCATTAAGTGCTTAACCCTAGGCGCTCGTTCCTATTTATTTTCACGTTGTTTTGTGGAATCGCGGCATTCGCAGCTCATGCCACACGCAGCGTCGATGCCGCCGCCGCCGCATGTATTTCAATTACTGCATTTCTCGGCCCAATGCCCTGCCACGCCCCCACTCGTCCCGCCTCTGGGATGGCCACCCCCAAACCCCTTTCCCGGCCCACCCCCATCCATTTCACCAAAGCCAGTAGCCACTGTTTTAATTTGCGCTTCGCCTGCTTTTGTTATTTTTCTGCTTCGGTTTTTCCCTTCTTTTTTTTTTTTTTTTTTGTGTTTTTTGTTCGACTCGCGTTTTTACGCAAATTCATTGTTTTAATTTACTCAAGTTTGTTGACCGAAAACAAAAACTAATCAATGACTGGGCTCGCAACGGGTGGCTCAGTGGATCGGTGGTTCGGTGGTTTCGGTGGGTTCATCGAAGGTTTTCGAGGTGACAGGCCAGCTGCACCACATCCCACACTAAAAATTGGGTTAGAAAAACCCTAATGGGTCTGGCAGTATATATTTTTTAATTAAACATTAACTCAGCTAAACTTGTTGTTGCCACTTTTTTTTTTTTTTTTTTTGTTTTTGCTCGTGGTGTTCATTTTGTTTTTCAGGTATTTGTCTTTGCGGTCCTTTTGCTTTGCGGTAAGCAGTTCGCTTCGCTAAGTTGTGGCAAGGGATTTGATATCAAAGGACTAAAACGAGCAAGGATTGTGTGCGTATAGGGAAACCTCAAAAGAGTAGAATATTAAGGCTAAGGGAATTAACGCAAATCGCGTTAAATGAGAAACGGTGTATCATCATCTATTGAAAGGGTTCTAGTACTTGACTCAAATAAATAAAGGGGAATTCGAGCGGGATGAAAAGCTTAATACTCTTGATATGAAAAGCTGAGGGGTATAAATAAAATGGGTATTCAACTAAAATTATTTTAAACACAAAAAAGGTGTCTTAAACTCTTAAAATAAATTTTAGGAAATTATTTGTATGAAAAAGTCAAATTTTAAAATCATCGAGACATATATAAACTGAATCTTTTAAAATGATATTATTTATATAATGAATTATTATTATTTAAAGTACTAATATTTAAATTTTTTTTTTTTTTTACAGCTAACATCTTACAACTGAACGAAACAACGATACTAAGCTGTACTAAAAAGTTAAGGATCACCGACACCGGAAAATCAAACAGAACAACAACAACTGCTACCTAAGGTTTCTCAAACTCTGAAAACAAATAACTCAAACTAAAAAAAACAAAAAACAACCAAAGCCATATAAGCAAACCAGAAAAAAGTGCAAATTATGTAAATTATAGCAAAGGCAAAACGCAAAGGGAAAAGCGAAAAGCAAACGAAAAAGAGAATTAGTCAAATAGAAACGGCGGAAAAAAAAGATGCAGAAAAAATATCTGTAACCAGGCGAAACCGGAAATTAAATCTGCAACGCTGAACCAAAGTGGAAGAGGAAGAGAAAGCCGAGCCGCAACCAAAAACCGCAGCAAAATCCGAGACGAAAAACGCGTGCCAAAATATTTGCCCAAAAAATACGCAGAAATAAAATAATAATCAAAGCGTACGAAATTAAGAGATATTTCAGTTTTTTTTCGGGCAAAAAGATAGTTTTAAGCGTTGCGTTGTGAGAAACTGGAGGTCTTTCTCCTTCCATCCGTTCTTCCATTGTTGAACTCTGACCCGCAAGGAACATTGTCTCGGTCTTTTGTGCTAATCATCGCTAGTTGTTGGCAGCCAAGGGAGCAGGAGCCCTGGCCAACAACTATTTAGCCAAGGTGACGAGGCAAGGATTGCCAGGCACTTTGCAGCAACTCAACCACACCAGCGGCAACAACAACAAAAACAACAACACCACAAATTTTCAAAGGAGGCGGCGAAGCAGGAGCAGGAGCTGAAGAAGAAGAAGCAGCAGCAGGAGGAGGAGGAGGGTTCAGGAGCCACGCGATACAAACAAGCCAAGGACATGGACTCCCCGCTGTTTGTCCTGTTGATCTTTCTGGCGATAATTAAAGGTGAGTGCTCCACGACAACTATTCAGTGCGACAAGCCAAGCTCCAAGCTCCAAGCTAAAATCCCTGCTCCTTTTGAATCTCGCTGCCGTTTCTGTTTGTCTTGCAGCAACGTTTACCTTGGCCAACAACTTTCCCTTTTTTTGCTTGGCTCGGGGGTTTGCTTAGGTGGCCGCTAATTAAATAATTGTAAATATTAAAGTATGCGGTAAAACTCGGTTCGAGTTTTGGGGGAAAAGTGCTCTCGCTGTAATTAAAAACCCTTGCAGCTTTTATGAGCCTTCAAAAGGGGTGAAGAAAGCAGCTTTCAGTCCATTCTCTAAACCTTTTTGCAGTCTTTCAAAAGAACAAAGTTAAGATGAAGACATTTTCAGGGTGATTTAATTACATTAAATACAGCTGCATTTTGCGATATAAAACTAATTTATTTACGAGTATATACATAATATATCTGGGTTGCATATTTACAGAAGACTTTTTGAATAAGTAAGTCTTGCAAAAAAATCAGTTAAAAATAATCAGAAATGAAAATATATTAAATACCTAACAAATTAAAACATTTAATATAACAATATGAGGATAATCACTTTAATTTTAATAACCTAATAATTTTTTTTTTCAAAAATAGAATAATGACCTTTAAGTATCCGTAATGTTAAAGGTCAACTATTATCTATGGACTTGAAAACCCATTTCTCCACTGTTGGTGTTGACTCTGCCAGTTGTTGAACGTGACGCCTTGCCACAGACAAACATTTGCGTTAACAAGTGCTCGAGATTCTTTCGCTTTTCGCCGAGAGCAGCCCGAAACTCGAACAAATCCCACTCATGTCGCACTATCAATTTCAAATGCGGAATCTCCTCGACTCGCTCGACCCCTTTTCCCCCTCCTTCTCTCCTATTTCCCGCCCATTTTCCCTCCTCCCTGTGGCATGCATAAATCTTGCGGCAAGGTGACACTGCGTGGCCTTGCGGGTTGAATTGCGCCCAACCGCCCAGCCGACACATTATTCAATTCCGCATCCGATTTTTCAATTTCCTTGCGAGCGTGTTTTCACGGCGCTTTAAGCAGGCCAAGAAAATGCCAGCGGAATGTAAAAGTAAAAGCCAAACTCCCACTTACAAAAACACAAAAAAAATGGAAGAAAGAAAGAAAAAGCACTCGACTACAGTCATGGCTATATCTATTATATTGGATGGTGTGTGTGTGTGTGTGCGGGAAATTCCCAGGCAGCGGACCATAAATTCACATGGAGATCGCCCTGAGCCAAACTTGGCCATATTTTTAGTTTTCACTGCTCGCTGAGCTCCGCAATTGCCAGAAAAGCGGGAAAAAGTTGAAAAAACAAAGGTGGGAAGGGAAGTGGGGGTATGTGGGGGTATGTGCAGCAAGGAGGCGGATATTCAAGTAGAAAAAATAGAATTGTCATGCGGAGAAGGAAGGAAAGAGCCCCGGGAGGCCGCACTTCAAATCCACATTCTTTTCCCCGGAGTCACTCGAGCACTCGCTGGAAAATATACACGCCAAAAGAGTGGAGAACAGGGAAAACAATGCCCCTTCCCCACTTTCCACTCCCCCTTCCACTTTTACCAACGTTATATAGTACACAATATCTGTCTTTTTTAAGTTGCATCGAGAGTTGAGAAGTTCTGTGTGTGTGCCTTTTTCGATTCTCATGTGCCCCCCTGTTGACAAAAATAACAACTTGCGACGCGGGTCGGCGCGATTCAACTCAATTCTGGTTGTTTGCTTCAAGTGCTGCCACTGCCACACACTCTGCAGCTCCGAATGCACAAAATTAAGTTCGCGTTCAGCGCGGAACAGCGAAAAAATGTTTATAGACTCAACTGAAAAAAGAACATGTTTTTATTGGAAAGAGTTCACAAACATTTCAAGTAGGAGAGAAGTATTCTAATATTCTAAAGTTTTTCGAAGCTATTTCTAGTCTCTAAAGTCATCTTCTGAACTTTTATTTTCACAAATGCTCGAGTTGATCAAATTCATTATTAAACGTTTCTCTAAAATTTTATATATGCCAATTTATTCAAGGAAATTCCTCAAAACGACTTGGCAAGCTGAAACAAATGATCATTATTGGCCCTACAATTTCACCATTTTAATCAAAGAGACTTAACACTTGAGTAGCCTTAAGTGCGTAACAATAGTTGCTTGGCCTTATATGCATTAAACTAATGAAGTAAATTAATATGGTAATGAAATGGCATCAAAATAGATAACACTTTGTTGGGGATTTAACAATCAATTTGAGCCAGATTGCTTCCTGTTGCAGGCCACTGAAAACGCATGAAAATCCAAAGCGACCCCTGCAGTCTTTCATTTTCCGCACTGGTATTTTCCGGATCCTTTGAAGGACCATTGTTTTCTGGCAGCTGAAAAGTTATTACTTAAGCATCGCTGGGGGAGTTGGCGGGGAAATCTTTTGACTTTGTCTCGACCCGCCTTGTTCGATTTCTGCTCTTTATTTGGCCACCCATTTTCCACTTCCGATTTTCCACATTCCACGATTCGTTTGAGAAGCTCCGACAGAGACTAATGAAGACGGCAGCTCGGAGTTCGCTGCTCGGGGATTTGGGATTGGGACTCTAGATTGTTCGGCCAAAGACAAATATTTTCAATAAGCTGATATCGGGAGTGTGCACTGATTGGAAAATCAGCAGTTGAAAATTGCCGAGGAGGACAGCGGCAGCAGCAACACGCAATTTTTCAGGAGTCGGCCGGCTTATTGCTTTTGTTGCCTGCCAGTTGGCAAACGCATAAATTGTGCGAAAATTCGGAAATTCGAGTCTGCACCTTGAACACTGTCAGCCGTTACCCGGTATATATGGCCGGTCATATATTTTATTTTAAGACATTTTACGCATTTTCGTACATTTAAATGACATAAATTCTTATTGGATTTGCCTGGCAAAGCTTCGCCGGACATTTTCAGCTTTAATTCGCTTTGGCTTCCCAGTTCGCAGTTCAGTCCATTTCACTCCGAAATTCCCGTTGATGGGAAAAGGGAGCTGGGGATCCCGGCATCCCGGCATCCTGGCATCCTGGCATCCTGGGATTACTGGGCCACAATGTATTTGTTAATATCCCTGTTAATATCCTGAGAACTGGCGCAGAACTTCTGGCAATGAGGAAAGTTCTTCCATCTTCCATCGGAATGTCTTTGGCCCTGTGCTAAGCCAACTTTCGAAGTTGGCCCACCCCGTCTGTTATTCTCGGCCAGGTAAGTCGGATAAATGAGGCTCGGCTCCAGACTGCGACTGTAATTCTGGATCCCAATCCGAATCTGAATCTCAATCTGGATCTGAAGCTGAAACTGACTGTGTCTGTGTCTGTGACTTTGGCTTTGGCTTTGGTTGGGGCTTCCGGCTTCACTTGTTCCCCCGTTTACCGCACGTAGAAGTAACTTTCAAGGTTGTATCTGCAACTGAAACTGTGGCTGAAACAGTATCTGTAGCTGTGTATCTGTGTGTCTGTATCTGTAGGCCAGCACAAAGGCGAAGCAAGTTGCAGTGCAAGGAAAACAAGTTTCTGTTACGCACGCTGCACTTCCGTGGCGCCACCGAAGGACTAACCTTGCTCCGCTTATGACTTCCTTCTGCTGAGTTAGAGGTGTGCTTTTGCAAATATATGTAAGGACATGTGTAAGGATTCGATTTTTATTGGCGAGAGGTGGAATATTTATTTAAATATTATGCAAATCGTTTAAGTCTCGAAACCATTCTAGAAAAATATATTTATAAAGCTTCTGGTGTGCAATCCTTTTTCTTTAGTAAGGTGATAATGCCTTTGTGAAACAATTTATGAACATGTAGTTTAAATATTACATAGTGAAGGACCTTTTACATAGTTTATAAACAATAAAAGATGCTGTTGTAATTTTCACTCGAAACGTGCTATAAAACTTTTTTTGCTCAGTGCATTCGTGACTCACGAACTCACCCTTTTTCATGGTTCGCCGCAAATCCGCGCCCCCTTTGGCGGCACCTGTAGGCATGAGCTCCGCCCATCTCCATCTCCACCTACATCTCCATCTCTATCCGTAGATCCGGTTCCTCCTCATTGTCATCCTTGAATGAGTCAGCGATGCCGCCACAAAAGTTTGCAAATAAGTATTTTTTATACTGCCAATCCCGGCATCTCTACCCCG